CACCAAAAAACAACTCTGAACATATTTTAGGTACCTATCGATTACACTGGCCGTTTTTCAAATATAAGAATAATGAACCTTTGTAATATTTTTTATTAATAACATAGTTTAAAGCATGCTCTCTCGATTAAAAACACTTTCTGACCGGGAGATGCAAAGTTGGAGGAGCCGCGCGATACTAGGAAGGGAAGTAGGCACGGGTATCCCAATCTCTTAGAATTGCGCGGTTCCGCCATGGCAAATAATCAACTAAAGAAAACATCCTTAGCAGAAAAACGTTTAAGTTTATCACTTTTTTTGATACTGCTTGATAAAATTTGTATAAAAACGGCCAGTGTAATCGATGAGTACCTATTTAGAACGAGACAAGATACCGACACCGACAAAGTTTTCAAAATTGTAAGTAGGGCAATAAAATATTGGAAGAGAAATTGTTTAAAGACAATGGGATTGTTATTTATTGTAATCGGTCTCAATGAAATCAGCCAAATCAGCCATTTTCCTCCATTCTTCGAAAGTGAATGTAGGACTTGAAATTACATGGGGAATGCCGTCTTGTTGGCGGATTGTCGTGATTTGCGGAGTTTCGAAGCCTACAAAAAGAAGGGTTCAAAATTTAAAAGCCTTTTATTCACATTAAGATTGAATATCTTGAGTTCGAAGAAAAAAGCTATCAAAAAGTTCAGGATTGAGCCTTGAGTTTTACCCTTTAAAATTTATTCTTTACTTGTTTTTTTGTCATTTTCCACAAACCTTCCACCAATCCAAATTTCTCTTTGTTCTCATAAAGTTCAGTGCCTCTTAAAAGCATTAATGGGAATGCATGAAGGGTATTCGGTTTCAATTTCATACAATAATCCACTGTTTTTTGAAAACTCTCCAATGTTTGAGATGGAAGACCGTAAATGATTGAAATCTGAAGAAAATGGGAATCTTTTGTCGATCAATCCTCACCTCAAACTCAATTCCATTCTCTTTACATTGTTGTACGGCTTTTTCAACCTTTTTCATGTGATTCATTCGATTGATCACTTTCATTTCGTTTTTGTGAATTGTTTGCAATCCGAATTCAAGTACAACTTTTGCCTGAAAGATTTAAGATTTCTAGAATTTGGAATCAGATCACTTTCTGGTTTAACTTCACGATTGCTTCCATGAAATCTGTTTTGATCATTTCCGGGCGAATCTGGAGAGCGATCTTTCCGGTGAAGCCACGATCAGCTAGCTCTAGAAGAGGATTGCTGGTATTTAGTCTTTTCTACCCGAAATGATTCCGACATGCTGTTTTCCCGAATTGAAAGTTGGATCCACCACCGCTAGATCACCAATTTTATTCCCAGCCAGCCATTGGATCTCGTCGAAGACTCTGAAATGATCACATTTATAATAGAAACTGAAGGAAATGACTAAACATCGATGAAAGATGCCATTTACCGTAATTGTTCAAAATTCCTTCTTCTCAACGCTTCTCCCCCGAGATCCGTTTCTCGATGTTGACAAAAAGAGCATCGAAATGGACATCCCCTTTGTGTTTCCCATCGAATGAAATGTTGTGGAGGGATTAGACCGGAAAGGATTGGGGAAGCAAGGGATTCCAAACCAGCACGGGCAACTCGATTGTCTAGAAAAGGGTGCTGAATGAAAAGGAAACTAATCGTAAGCAAGCTTCTGTAAAAACTCTTCATATACTCACCATCTGCTTGTCCAGCAAAGTGAAGTCCAGCAATTTTCGGATATTTCTCTTTTGATTGAAGATATTCGAGTAGACAATTCTCTGCATATCCTCGAATGAAAATATCAGCTTCTTGATAATGTTTCTCGAGATTTGACTTCAAATAGCTGATTTGTGGACCACCAATGATAATGTTTCCTGGAAAACTGAACTATGTTAGCTGCTTGTAAACTTGTACCTGGAAACTTGTTGGCTTTTAGCTTTTCGATGATCTTCTGTACATATCGTTCATTCCACACAAACGCTCCAATTCCAAAATCGGTGTGGGAATCGGAGAATTTGAAAGCAAAATCGACAACTTGATCAGAATCGAAGGTGTCATTGTTGACATTCCACGATTTCTCGATTACATTCACCCCATTCTTGAGGAGATTTGCAAGGATTGAGGCATGACCTAGAGAAACAATTGTTTTCAGAACTGATGAATAAGATGTTGAAACGATTCTGGGTTTTTGAACGTGAAACTTTCTTCAAAGCTTTATGGTTTGAAGATGATATAGTAAGAGCTACAGTATTGGTTTCAAATCTTTAGTACTTTGTTTATTCCGGTATTTTTTGTAAATCTTTAGAATTTCAAGCTAAGATTATGATACTTTGATTACCTAGAGACATTGGGGGATCTTTCGGACGAGTCCAATCTAAAGCTGTCAAAATGAGTCGTCTCATTCAGTAAAATAAGATGAAAAGATGAAGTTCTTGACAAGAATTTAGACTGTGAACCAAAACAGTTGCACAATATAAATGGGCATAAATATAGCCTAAGCACCGATTGCATTCCTTTTTGCGTTTTCTCCTTTGCTTATCTTTTGTCTCTTTCGGTTCCTTTCCCTTTTTCACCTCAAATTGTATCGCATAAGCCTCCATTTTTTGGGAATTCAAAAGATTGCTAAGAAAAAAATGAATTGCTCAATAAATTCGAAAAATCTTTCTAAAAGTTTAATGCAAAAATTGAAAGAAAATGAAATACTTGGTAAGCAAAGAAGCTGAGAAAATAGAAAAGAAAAGAAAATTAGATTGTCAACTTGAAATTTAGTTCACTTTTTCGTATTTTCCATGAAACATATTTAATATGAATTGAATTAGAATTCTCTAAATAAAAGTTATATATTATCTAATTTAAGGAATGCTTAAGCAAATTTGGGTAACTTTCAAAACAAATTTGAGCAGAAATTGAACTTTTTCTGAAAATTCTTCAAACAGACGTATAACTAAAGCAATTAGACAAATTGAGCTGAAAATTTTGCCAAGAATTTCAAGTCTAAAGGCCTTTTATTTCTTTTGGAATCTTCAATCTTCCGCTTCAACTACTTAGACGATAAAGGCTTAAATGATTCCAACAACTATTCCTGGAAATGACTCATTAGAAATAACAGCAACTATAGACACGTCTACTTACTTTGATTTATGTAAAAAAGCTAATTTCAGATAACGGCATCGAATGCTTCGTCGCCTAGGGTTCGGGTTCACTCTGGAAACCGAAGAATCCCCATTCCCTCGAATATTTCAAGTAAGTTCATGAATATTTTCACTTTTTTTGCGATATTTTATGTCACTGAGTATTCATTGGGTGAAGCATTGACCTCAATCAGTGCTTTGAGCATATTTCTGGACGGATAAATGGTAATCAGCCAACTTCAACTTTTTTAAACAATTGGATGATTCTTTCCAGATTCAACTCTTTACCTTTGATGCATGGGATGTCATTATTCAAATAATGGGTTTCAAATTCATGGAGAATCGTTCACTATCGAGTTCCCATTTCACACGGGATAATAGGGCCGTCATATCATCAAGAAATTTGGTGAGTAGTTTGAAAAGTGACAACATAGGCATCAAAAATTTATGTACAACAAGGATTTTACAAGTTTTGTTTAATGTTCAATCGATGAAGGAGAGGATCGAGACTTCAATTTTACCATAAATGTGGTTGCTAACAAGAATAGTGCAAAATCTGGGTTTGTCTTTAAAATGAGTCCAATAATACTATAATAATTAATAAGAACATGTTGAAATTGGCATTTAAAACAGAACTTTTTCTGAACTATTTAATCCATTTTTATTTCCACTTTCAGGTAGACAAGTGTCTCTATTAGTTTGGTGTCAATGTGAATATTCAGCTTCTCGATGCACTGTTTCCTCGCCAACATCAACCAATCACATCATCATCAACTCTGTTTTCATTTTTTCAATGAACGCTCTTTTTATTTTTATTTTTCTTTGCCTTATTTAGTCAATTTTTGGATGAATTTTTCATTTTTTTGTAAAAAGACATTGAATTTGAGTGAACAAATTGGAGAACTTGTCAAAACCAGTCAACAATTGAATTCTTTAAATAATTTGCTTTACAATCAGTTCGAAATAGCGGTTTTATTTAAGAAATGCTAACATACAAATACCTCAATTTCAAAAGCAAAGTCTTCTGACGCAAGAATCACCGATGACGTGGCTGAAAGAGATCATTTTCCTGTTGGCAAACGCTTAAGAAATGCTTAACCCAAGATTTTGAGACACGAAAAGACAGGAATGACAAAGAAAAATAGATAAATAGAAAAATATCGGTGAATTCTCAATTCAAAGCTATAGGAAATGTTTGAAGGATTTGCTTTTTTCATATTTTCTTTCCAACTCCTCGTTCTTGGCTACAAGCAAGCAGTCGTCAGTTTTCATTAAATCTCAAATCTCATTTTTCTTTTTCAGAACAAAATCACAATCAACCCTGTTTACGAAGAGAAAACAGCTCGTCGCTTCTTTGATCTCGCTGCTGCTAGCTATTTAAGCTATGATAATGTAAATCTAGATAAATTCTTCGAGAAACTGTCATGGGATTACGATTATTCAATGAAAATTGCTGGTTCAGCTGTGTGTGATGAGGTTAATTGAAAAAAAATCCATCATCAATCAGCATTATAGCTTAGAAACGAATGCCAAATGTATGTGGCTTATTCAGCGATGAGAAATAACTATGTAATCGCTTTTTCGGGTATTAATGAATCCGCATGGAGTAGAGGGCGTTTACTTTCAAGCAGATATAATCCATTCATTACTGGTTAGGTAAAGAGTTGATGTTACAAAATTGTTGATTTCAGGGAGTGAAAATTCTGAAGGTTATGTGGAACATTACTTCAATGAGGGGGTACAATCACTTTGGCAAACGATTGTTGATTATACTGAGTAAGGATTTTTACCAATCATTAAAATACATGCCAACTTTAGGACACGCAATAAGGACACAACTTTCTACATCACTGGACATTCATTTGGTGGAGCGATGGCTTCGATCACAGCCGCGAGGCTTTATCTTGAGGATCTTGTCACTTCTAAGGAAAAGGTTCAAAACAATCACTCATTTGTCACTTACTATTAGGTTTCAAGTAAGCAAAAACAATTTCAGATCCAATTAATCACTTTCGGTCAACCTCGTACATGGGATTATGATGCGGCTGAAGCACTCAAGAGATCGGTTCCCTATAAATGGAGAGTTGTTCACTACAGAGATCCCATTCCACAAGGATTATCGATTGAAGGAAAAGAATGTTCAGACGAACTACTGAATGAGGGAAAAGTGTGTCCATATCATCATACACAAGAGATTTGGTGAGGAGTTTGAATATCTGCAGGTCCAGTGACTCTAAAATCGTCACAATAGCTAGTCTTGACAATCATTAAGATTCAGGTACAATGACGATTTCACGAGTTATGATTCTTGTTCAACGGATGATGGAGAGGACACTGAATGCAGTGCGGGACTCCGGATGAGTCAGTCTGGCTCGGTATATGTAATTTCAGCACTTGTTTACAAGCTAAAGTTGTGGCTAATCAATAAAAGGTGACGAATTGTTTGAATCTTTAGATTTACGAGCATTTTCATTACTTTGGTGTCAACATTACTGAGTATGCAGCTTCTGGATGCGGTGTTGCCCCAACCACCATCACACATTTCACTTATAGCTCACAATCAGTTTTTGGCTATTCAATGCAAACCCTTTCCCCTAACCCATGAAAAATCTCGATGTTATACAAAAGAATTTCATCAAAATTCGCATCTACCTTCAATTTTTCTTCCCATTGGGCGAGTAGGCGTTGATTTTTGGCTTTGTTAGATTTTGTTTTCTCGGTTTAGGACACTCTTTTCAGAGTGAACAGGTTTTTCACCGCTCGAACCAGTTAGGTTGAAAAAGATTTCAGAAAAATGAAAAATTGCTTGATTCTCGGTTTCATCAACTAGAATTTCTTCAAAGGTTCCATTAGAACGGATTGATTTCAAAAGATACTTTTGATCATTTCTCCTCTTAGCGTTATTTTGTAAGCTTTCGTTGCCTGAAGTTTTTGCAACATCCAGATTTGACACACCTTGTTTTTACAGCAACTCATCCACCTCTAGAACCATAACTCTTATTTTGCAAGCATCTAATGCATTCACACGTTGTCTATAGTTTTTCTTTGTACATCTAAACATTTCTAAATGTTCAGTGGTTAAGTGGATCAAACTCACTTTTTACATTGTTTTTATTTACAAAAAAACTACAAGTCAATCTGCGCTTTACCTCGAAAATGCTTGCTGTAACACCATACAATGAGTGATAATTTGGAAACTTCCTGTGAGAAAAATAGATGGATTTTTTTCAATCTCTTCTTCAACAGCCAAACTCGAGAGAATCTCGAGAGCCATATGATCAAAAGTTCCAACTTGTAGGCCTGACTGAATCTTTGAATTCTTTAACTACTCCGAAGTCGCCGAGTTTGATCATGTAAAAACAATTGGAGAAAAAAGCTATTTTATAACTATTTTAGTTTTTTAGAACGAATCACAAACTTAGTCGGGTTGATGTCCCGATGCACTTCTCTTTTCTCACCCAAATACACCAAAGCCAAAAAGATTTGATGCGTCCATTTTTGGTGCGTCCAATCGAGTAAAAAAAGCTTTTCGTCAAAAATAACTAAATCTCCAACAAGTACTTTTATTCATGAATCACAAAGCTATCGTAGAAATCATTTCCTTTCTTGGGTGCACGGAAACCAAGAAAAACCAATAATCTTTGATTATCGCCGATTCGTTGCCCGGGTGTTTTATTTGTTGAATTGAGGCCCTTTGTCGAAATAAAAACAACCGAGCCGTTTTTGTGACTCCCCAGGGATAATTGTGGGTGCACTGTACGTAAAACATTTCAAGTCCGATTTTTGAAAAATTTTTTGAAATTTTTGAAAAAAAAAAAAAAAAAAAAAAAAAAAAAAAAAAAAAATTTTTCAAACTGGAATGTTGGCCAATCTCAGTGGATTTATGCATGTGCCGGAACGGGGATCGGCTTGAATTTTCTGCTTCTATATTTGATTTTCACTGATTCGAATGTGAGTTTGCATAGAAAATATAAAACTGAACCCTATTACAGCATGGCAGAGATGGATATCGTCGCATGTTGGCCATCGTCAGTTGTTACAATATTTACTACGCTGTTGTGCATTGCGTGATGGAAGTGGTGAGTAAATTTTGTCAAAGCTAGATACAAAGGAAAGGAGTTAAGAAGAATGTAAGAATTTAAAGTGTGTTCCAGGACAGCCATGGCATGATGCAAATTAGCTCAGACTTTACTCTAACGCTGAACAGTTTCCCAAGCTTGTTCAAGACTTGATACTTGATACAAAGGTTTTGGGGTGAAGGAGCTAAGAAGAATGTGAGGGGCTAGAGTGACTTCCAGAAAAGCCATACATAATGTAAATTAGCTCAAAACATTAATCTAACACTAAACAAAGTCCCAATCTTGTACTCAAACTGTTCCTCGATGGAAAGTTTTTGAACGTGAAGGAGTTAAGAAGTGTTAGAGGGAGAATAAAGTGAGTTACAGGACCGCGATATCCTTATGAAATGGATAGAATCTTCGATCCAAACACTGAATAGTTTCCCAATCTTGTTCTTGAGCTGATACTGATACAAAGATTTTGAAGCAAGAAGAGTTAAAAATGAAAGGGGGGGCTAAAGTGACTTCCAGGACAGACATAGCATAATGAGATGGATCGAAACTTCAAGCTGAACACTAAATAGTTTCCCAATCTTGTTCGGGAGCTGATACTTGATAAAAAGCTTTTGAAGGTAAAGGAGTTAAGAAGAATGTGAGGGGCTAGAGTGACTTCCAGAACAGCCATACATTATGTAAATTAGCTCAAAACTTTAACCTAATACTGAACAACTTCCCAATCTTGTTCCGAGTTACTTTATACAGATTTAAAAATCTGTATAAAGATGAGCGAAAAGAAAGAGAAGGGGCTAGAGTGAGTTCCAGAACAACCATAGCATGGAGAAAATAAGCATGAAACTTCAACTAAACACTAAAAAGTTCCCCAATCTTGTTCTGAAGCTTGTTACTGGTACAAAAGCCTTTGAAGGTGAAGGGGTTAAAAATGAGAAGGGACTAAATTGAGTTCCAGAACAGCCATGCATGATGTAAATAGCTTCAAAACTTTAATCTAACACTAAACAACTCTCCAATCTTTTTCCGAGTTTACACTTGACTTACGAAATTTTCCTCAAACTTTCCCAATGAAAAACTTTCTCGACTTCCGATCGCATTCAGGGAATCCTCATCGATTCAAGTGGATTTCTCGCCTTCAGTTATTCTTGTGCCCGTTTCGGCTACTGGGTCTCGTTTTTTGCCATCCAGGTTTAGATTTTAAAGATTTTGAATGAAAATTTAAATAATTTTTTTTCAGCTCTACAGTATTTCTTTTGTCATCTCCCTATTGCTCTTAACAATTCACTGCCTTTATCGCTATGTGAAAATCTCTGGGTATCTAAAAATCTTCATCAACAATCTGAAAAGTTTAGGAAGTTCAAAAATCTCTTCTCGAGATGGCCTTATCTGATTTCTTTGATTCTAGTTCATATTTTGTTGGGTGTTCTAGATGTTTTCTTCACAACATTAACAATGAGGGTAAGCAAAAATAGAAACACATCCGTTCTGGCACACTCGCGTCCAATTTTTAGCCAAGCCCTGAAAGAGATGAAATCAGTCGAGTGGCATTGTTGCAACGCTACAATTTGAGCATCGACCAATTGGGATATTTGGGGCCAGTGTACAAGGTTTGATAAAAGGAAACTGTGCTTAAAAATAGAATTTCAGCTAACTAATACAAGTGGCTCTTGGGTGTATGTCTGGCCGAGTATCATCAGCACAATGAGTACGGTGACTCTACAAGTGATCGTCTATTGCGCAACTTGTGTATGCGGGGTTCAGCTGTGAGTCTTTCTAAAGAAAACTTGAGTCGAATCGAAATTTAGATACATTTTTGTGCGAAAAGCCCTTGTCAGCAATCGATCAAAATCGATGAACATGCAACTTTTGCGTTTATTGATGATACAGGTAAAAGAGCGATCTCTCAACCAAAGTCTAGTTTTCCAGGCAATCACTCCACTCATTTTTGAGTATATCCCATTTTTCGCTACATTGTTCGGTGGATTCATTGGTTAGTCGTTAAAAAAATTTTTTTAATGTGTTTTTCAGGACTTCCCTTGGACGAGGCTTCGTTTTACATCCCAATTTTGGTCTCCTGTTATTCAGCCTCAGAGGCGACAATGACAATTTTCGGTTTTACAGTAAGTCTTTAAAGTGAAAAGACTTTCAAATCCATCAGCTATTTAGATATATCGTGAAAGGCTCCTCAGAGTGGGTTCTTTGCCTGCGAAGGCAATTCGAGCATCAAAAAAGGAAAGCCCACCACCTATCAGTTTGCGATCGAAATCTCTTCCAGTTATACACAGATCGTCAACTAAGGGGCAACTTAATAAATGATTGATGTAGTAAATTTTTCTCTTATTTATGATTGATCGGGTGCATCGCTCTAAATTTCTCCTTTATTGATAAATCATAGATCTCACCGATAGTAAACTTGCTCACAACGCCGGTAACCACGCTTGTCGCGAGACCAATCTGAAATAGCTTAATCTTAATTGTACCCGTTTTGGTAGTTCTGCAGCTTATCGTAAATTCCGCAACCACGATTTATGCAACCTTTGCATTCAATACATTTTATACCACCAAAGAACCAAACAAAAAGATTGGGAAGTTTTTCGTTGTTGGGCCAAAGTTTTGAACTAATTTGTGTCTTGTTATTGCTATCTGGAACTCACTTTAGCCCCTCTTATTCTTCTCGACTCCTTTACGTTCAAAAGCTTTGCATCAAGTATCAGTTCGGGAACAAGATTGGGAAGATATTCAGTATTTTGCTTAAAGTTTCAATCCATCTTATCATACAGTGTCTATCCTGGAACTCACTCTAGCACCTCTCATTCTTTTCCACTCTCTTGTCTTTAAAACCTTCGTATCGAGTATCAGCTCTTGAACAAGATTGGGACGTTGTTTGGTGCTAGATCAAAGTTCTAAGGTGATTTACATAATATATCGCTGTTCTGGAACTCACTCTAGCACCTCTGATTCTTCTCAACTCTTTTGCCTTTAAAACCTTCGTATCGAGTATCAGCTCTTGAACAAGATTGGGACGTTGTTTGGTGCTAGATCAAAGTTCTAAGGTGATCTGCATAGTATATGGCTATTCTGGAAATCACTCTAGTCCCTCACCTTTTTCTTAACTCCTTCACCATTAAAAGCTTTGCATCAAGTATCAAGCTCAAGAACAAGATTGGGATAGTTGTTTAGTGTTAGATTAAAGTTTTGAGGTGATCAGGTATGGCTGTCCTGGAGCACACTCTAGCCTCTCTAATCCCAAACCCTTCACCTTCAAAAGTTTTGTATTGCGTATCAGTTTGAAAACGGGGAATTGAGGGCAAAGATGATTAAGAAAGAAAAGTAGAGAAGGTAGACCGGACAATATAAAACAAAAGAACAATTACAAAAAAGAAAAACTACCGTTAACAGGACTCTGGGCTTGAGAAGAGAAAGGGAAAAGGAAAAATGACAAATGGTGGGACAAATTTCGCACGGTTACGGCAGCGCAAGTGCAAAATAGAATTGAATTGCCTACGGTAGTGCGCACAATTTAAGAAGGAACAACAATAGAAGATCAAAATACTAGCTTATCACCCTGAATGCTGGCTGATGGTTATTCACAGGTGATGCCAATTGGGTGAAATTTCGTTCCACGGATGGAGCTTCTTCATGCGAGACGTTGTCTGGTTTGTAACTCAGTTACAGATACAGTTGTTTCTGCCTTTCCCCTCCACTCTGCCCGTCTGACGCTAACAGAAAAGAACAGAAAAAAGAGGTCCTTTCCTTTCCCTGTCACTATGATTCACTTCTTTGCATCTATTCCACATACACACAAAATACTCTTTCTCCTCTTAATTCCCTTTTTACATACCGAATTCAGTATTTCCTTTGAATTTTATCATTGCAGATGCCGAAAGCCAAACTCACCGACTTGTTGAGTTCATTTCGACGGAAATCCAAACACCTTCAAGCTGGAGAAGCAGCAAAAAAGGGCAACTCTCCTTCCGTTGAACAGAGGTGAGACAAAAGTTATGCTAAATAAATAATGCATTAGACAGATGTTCTTCTGTTAGCCAAGCAAACTTTTATTTTACATTTTGCGACTGGAAACTTTAGCAAAGCCTTTGGGCGAGTTTTGGAATCTCCATTAAATTTCCGTTTCTCTACATATCAAATGTCAACAATATGAATTTAGCGTAACGGCTGGATCGGTTCCAGCTTGCTCACTTTCCGTTCAACACGACGATCAGCTGTCTACACGAGTTAATAAGGCGACAAAGCGGCTTTGGAATTTTGGACGCCAAAAGAAGGTTAATTTTAGTTTCATATAAATTTAAGAAGAAAGTTAAATTGTTAGCAAAATTGCAATGATTTTGCTAAAAATTTAACTTTCTAGTTCACTTTTCCAGGCGGGGAAACTCGTGAAAGAAACGCTCGAAGTGCCACTAGCCGGAAACGCCTTCATCACTCACCGGTCACCCAGTGCATCAGAGACGATTTGTGAAAAAGGCCTAGTGCATTGGAACAATGCGGCAACGGTGATCAGCGCCTTTTTCCGAGTCAGCCACCCTGGCCACTTGAGCCTGGGCGTGAAAGCAAAAGCCGCAACGAGGAGCATGATAAAAGTCTGCTTCAACGGAACCGCCAAAGACATCAGCCTCAACGGAACATCGTTTAAATATTATCATGTCGGCGATTTCCCGATTTCCACTCCGGGTTATATCAAAGTGGACATTCAAGGCGTGGGTGAAACTCATACAAATTTCGGCGAACTTTCCCATATTGTTGCATCAGGAGAGGCCGTTTCGAGCCAATGCATCTACTCGAATAACCCAGAATATTACTATTGGGCACGCCGGGGACCGTCTTGTCACCTAAACTACACGATTCCTACAGACGAACACATCAGTTATTATTACAACGAATTGGTGGTCCCGGAAGGCCACGACCGAATCGGCTCCTACTTCATGGCGATTGGTTTCGCCGAGGGGTATTTCGGCGTTCAGGTGAACTCGGAGTGCGAGAGGAGAATTCTCTTCTCCGTGTGGAGTCCGTGCGAGACGAACTGCCCGAAAGATGTTCGCAAGGACTATCGAGTCACCCTGAACACGGCTGGTCAAGAAGTGCACACCGGGGTGTTTGGCGGTGAGGGTGTCGGAGGGCAAAGCTACCTGAAATCTCACTGGATTGCCGGCAGAACCTACAAATTCTTGCTGAACGCGCGGCCGGACAACAGCGGCAACACGGATTACACCGCTTGGTGGGCACCGGGAAACGGGGAATGGAACTTGCTTGCCAGCTGGAAACGCCCAAAAACGAGCACGTATCTAAAGGGCTTCTACAGCTTTGTCGAGAATTTCAACCCCGACTATGGGCATGAGCACCGGAAAGTCGAATTTGAGAACCAGTGGGTGAGAACGGTTTCCGGAAAATGGCTTCCCGTATCGGAGGCTCAGTTCAGCGTCGACGCCACTTACAATAAACAACAACGTGTGGATGCCGCCGGTGGAACGAATGGAACATCGTTCTTTCTGGCTAATGGTGGCTTTTTCAGTCACTCCGTCCCTCCAGGCAGCTCTTTCTCCGTGCCGTGCCCCAATCAACCCCCAGAGATCAGCCTTGGAAATGGCTGCTCCCGTTGCCGACCCGATCTCCCTTCAATCGCGACGAGCGCTCAGCAGAGATGTCTGTGCACGGCTTTTCTTTGGTGAGTAGCAAGTTTCATTATTAAAAAAGAATTGCTGTCATTGCAGAGTAAAAGTGCTAAAAGTCTTTCACAAGTGTGGGGGCCCGATCGCCGACAAGGATCGAATCTTCAGTGTGCCCGGAGACGGATATCAGGAAATGTTGGCTCCTGTTCACACAGATGTTATTAGGTTGGAAAGAAAGTTCTCGGAAAAAGTTTGACTGGAATTTCTTAAAAACGAATTCACTAATTCGAGAACATTTTCTACTATTATTTACTAGTCGACTCCAAGAAATTACTCGTAAAAAAAAGGAGTGCAGCTTTTCCTTAAAATTTTAGAGATTTTAGGAAAAGTATTACTTTTCAGCTTAAATTCTGATCACTTTTAGCGCCAAAAAGAGAATTCCTTATGAGGTAAAGCTAGGATAAATGAGCAATAAGCTCTATAATCTCTATTTTTGACCAAAAATTTTTTTGATGTCATCTTCTTGGCACTGAGTATTTGCTAAAATAGATGATTCTGAAAAGTTAAAGCATCAGATAAAATTTGCCTTAATCACAAATTTTCCCTATTTTAAGTACTCGATTTTCGATTTTGAATGAGACCCATTGCCTATTAGCCCATTAAAAACTTGTCTAAAGGCTGGTCACTCAAAAAGTGACCAAGTCACTTCAGCTAAAGAAATCGCTTATTTTTTTTAAACTGAAGTTCACTCTGATTTTTTTAAGCTTATCAACAAATTTGGGAAGAATTCATGACTTGGTTTTTGAGAAATCATGGTGCAAACTTTTTTGCCAACTTAATACTTGAATTAATAACAATAAGTATCTATTTATGACGGTAAGAAGTTGGTGGCTCCATCTCTCCACTGTCTTTATTTTACTCATTGGAAAAGTTGTTTCCTCATAATCCCAGACACTTTCAGCTTATTCAACGTCGATGGCTCTAATTTGTGCTTGGACAAACAAGGAAACCTGCGAGGAGCGTAGGCCGAAGGGAAGTCCGTCGAATAAAACTTGGTTGTATTTGCCAAGCAGCAAATGAACTTTTACAAAAATGTAACAAACCGTGCAATGAACAAAGACAAGAAAACTTTCAAAATCGTTGAAACGTGCAAAATTGTCGAGGAATCGACTTTTCTCTCTTCAACATCTTGGCTTATCAACAGCATCGCATGTTGTAGCCAACTGCAATTGTTCGGAGAGCTTCTTTCATTCTGTCGAGGGTCTTTTGAATCCCTGACGGACTGATCGTACTTCTGTTGACCGAGAGAAACGTCTAGAAAGAGGCAAAGTTTTGAGAAGAAAGCTCTTGCATTCATTTAATCTTATTTTT